CCCCAAAACCCCAAAACCCCAAAACCCCAAAACCCCAAAACCCCATCTTTTGAAAAATAATTGAGAGCTTCAAATTATCATTAATTTTAATCCACTCAAAATGGAATCATATGCTGAAATCCGTGAAAACATTATGCTTAAGTACGACAAGGGGTACTCAAAGCTGCTAGATCCCCTTAGGACGACTTACTGATACAACTCTGGCCAGCTGAAGTCCTACCTAAATTACTCAAAGATTCTGTGAGATGATCTCATCTACAAAATGGGCAAAGTTAAGTCCCAAGAGAGTGTGTACAAGTGCCATTATGAATCCAAACTCATCAATGTCACACAAGTTTTAATTAAGATCAGTCGTAAAGTCCACTTTTTACTGTATAAACTTTGTAAGGACCACTCCCAGCTTGAGAAATTGCTTGAAGAAGAGAGTGAGGATCAGAACTGTTTAATAGAAGAGGTTGAGAGCATCGACTCCAAAATCAGTGATGTCACCTTCAAATGCTCCCAACGATCCAATCAAAATTTACTCAAAAGAGAGCCACGTCAGCAACCAAATTTAGAGTTTTCTCTAACGTCATTGGACTTTAAAATTGAAAAATGCTTCTTGTCACCAAAGGCTTTTGGGGAGATAGTAAAAAGTATTGATGGTGTAAGCATACATTCGACATGCTTGGCCACGGAAGCTCTCATTAAGATCCTTGTGAAAATGGAAGTAGCAATCAACGGCATCTTACAATCGCCTAATAATTGAGACTTCTCAGAGTTATTTTACAGGTCTGAGTATCTGAGGTGTTATGAAGATACACTTCATGAGATTATTCAAAGCCCTGATGATGAGATATACTACTTAGAGTGAGATTTTTGTTTATATTGTTTAGCATTACTCATAACTCAAACCTTTCAGGTCAGACACAAATAAAAGAGCAAGTTACAAAATTCCAAAACATTTTAAAAATCGTGTTGCCAGAGAATCAGCAAATGTATATGACAAGATACAAATATTTCTGATACTTTGTTGAACTAGCCTTTGCTATCTCAAGTAAAGCCCTATCAAGAAATTCTTACTTCATGAAGATTGTAAAAACTCTTGTCCATTCTCCTGTCTATGTCTTCTCAAAGAGGCGGATGAGGTCCCAATATAAGGCTTTCATTACTTCAGGAGATCTCGACTTATTACTAAAGATTGCAAAATCCACAGGAAGCACCTTCTCCAGATTCTGCTGTTACTTCATAAACCCTTGGATAAAGTTCCACAAAAAGATTTACATCCCAAAGAGCTACGACAGACTAGATATGAAATCCCTAAACAAATGCTTAGATGACTTCCTCATGACCGAGAGTTCCCCTGAGCTGAACAAACTCTCCAAAAAGCTCCATCACTCACTTTCCTTCACACACAGAAAACCCAAACAGCTCACTCCCTACAAAGAAACTTTCACTTACAAAAAGAAACCAGATTGCCTCTGCCTTCGTAAGTCTCCATCCTAACCCACCCATAGGCATCGTGTCCCCATTCCCAGTGTTCCTGAGCCAGAACCCTTCTAAAGGAATTTCAAAAATTACCGACTGCGATGCAGTCTTAATCCATATTCACGGAGGAGGATTTGTATGTCAAACAACTTCTCAGCATCAGATATATCTAAGACGGTGGTCTAAGCAGAATAATATTCCTGTGCTAATGTTGAGCTACACACTTGCTCCGGAGGCTAAGTATCCTGAATCTATTGATGAATGCTATCAGCAATATAGATGGATTGTAGATAATATTGAAACAAGTCTTGGTTTGAGACCAAAGAAAATTTTCTTATCTGGTGACTCCGCTGGAGGGTTAATCGGAACTGACCTAATTGCGCTAGCTATATGTAAGAAGTTTAGGATTCCAGATGGTTTTATTTCGATCTACCCTGCCTTATTACTAAAATATGAGGCTTTCACTCCTTCAAGAATCAACCTTTTTGATGATAAAATGATGAACCAATTGGTAAAAGAAGCTTGTTATAATGCCTATTGCAAAGATATTGATCCAGACCAAAATCCTTTCCTCTGCCCAATGTTTTTACCAGATCAAATTCTTCAGAGATTCCCACCAACCAGGATAAGCCTAGCTGGGCTTGACCCAATCCATGATGATGGATACAAGTTTGCATACCGTCTTTCTAACTTAGGAAAGGACGTAATCTGAGTTGATAACAAGTTGCTTCCTCACGGGTTTTTGAACTTTGGCCTTGTACCTCTGATAGGAAGTGAGTGTAACAGGGCTATCGACAACATTTCTTCAATGATTTCTGAACTCATAAATTCGTAACCCTTTCAAAGAAGCATTCAATATTTCTAGTTTTAAAAGGGGTTTTGGGGTTTTGGGGTTTTGGGGTTTTGGGG